TGAGCAGTGTAAAATGAACACGCATTCTTCATGGTCATACCCCTACAGTGTGTTTTGTATGAGGTCCCCCTATGTACTGCACAAATGAATGTTATCAGCAGCCTGTCGCATTGACTCCGGTGGAACAGTCTATCCACTGTGAGCTAGGCAAACACACAGGGGAGAAATCCCTATGCCAACCACACGTATGAACACCTGGAATCTAGATAGCCGATAGATTATCCGACTCTGCCATCTCGACAACAGCCTATGGGGCTGTGAGCGCTTTTCACAGATAAGTCGAATTTACACAGCTACCACGATTGTGACGTTTCCATTTCCCTGCTCGTCAAAGTACTGTTCATTAAACAATATACATAACTGTGTTATACCACAACTTCACAGGTTTAACACAAAAATGTTAATCACTTCACTTGCTGTACTAATCTCAAACTCCCATGCAGTAATGTTTTCTGCCGACTTGCAGTCTTGGCACATCTTGGCAATATCAATGCGCATATTTGATTTAATGTGGCCTAGTTATGACAGTACATCCATCTCAGTTTTATGAGGCCATATATGGTGTGTGCCCTGTGCCAGTAATGTAGACACTAGGGAGTCTTCCCCCGTTGTACTGGATAGTTCCTGGGATATAGCGGCTCATGCAGGGCAGGATGTGTGAAGCCTAGACCACTTGGTTATAGATCCCCCATAAGCACCCTGGTAAACTGAACTGCCTCACCCTTCCTTACTGGGTTCTTGGCCTCCAATGTAGGTCCATCCACACTCTCCTGCTGCTCCTTCACCTTAGTGGGCAGTGGTGGTGGTGTAGGTTTCTCATTTTTGCCTGCAACAAGAGGAATAAACACTATATGAAGATGGGGGTGTAACCAGCAAGGCATGAAACAGGCTAGCCATCTGCAGCTGACCAACAAGACAACTTTGATTGATTTAGAGCAAGGTACTGTACGTGTCATCAAGTCAGACCACATCTCTGTAATAACATGCACTGTAGGTCTACTGTACAAAGCCATATTTGAGGTTTTGGCCTTCCATTGAGTCATCTGATGTTAAAACACTATTCACCCCGACCAACCCTTACATCCACAGATTTTGGCCCTCAATTCATCAATCAATGCCAGAGGTGGGTTAGAAGTTCTCTTCTGCAGTGAAATTCAAACAATAACAAGAATTGACATGCATGTTCACTATCCTCTGGAACATTAAAAAGGAAGACAGGACTCCAAAAGGAAGCTTTGTTGACTGCGGTCCAACCTTTGCCTAAGTAGATTTATTAGTGTCCTAGTTCAATGCTGTGGATTTTCTCTAGGAGCTGATCAGCTAAATAGGCCGGGCTGAGGGAGGCCCATACACAGTATTTGGAGAGCGGTTGATGTTAATAGAGCAGAACACCACAGAAAGACGGCATTCGCTTCAAAGAGCATGAGCCAAACAGATTAGCAGATGATGCAAAATAAAAAAGGTTTAGCCCCGCAGACTAATGCTATAATGACAGAGGCAGGCTGGGTAATCCACTGATAGTAAAGATTTTCTGTGCCATTTCAGAGGAAGGCTTTTTTTCCCCCCAACACTCGCTACACAGGAAGAGTGGGAGCTAGAGTGACTGCTCAGTTCACAAGACCAGGAAGTCCTAGCCTAAGGTTGTCACTTCCTATTGACCCTGGACACTTCGTGTCTTTAGAGTTTGCTTTATCTTGGCCAGGTCGCAGTTGTAAATGAGAACTTGTTCTCAACTGGCCTACCTGGTTAAATTAAAAATAAATTAAAAAAAAAGAGTGGACTGGAGTGTTTGAACTGTGGGGAAGACGAGTGGGTGCTATAAATAATAGTACAGTACGTTACATTACGTTATGTTATGAATGTCACAGAGGGAGCTGGGGCAGAGCCTGGATAATATAAAGGTTGTTTGGCTTAACCCTGTGAATTAAAAGTGACCTCATCTGCCCTCAGGTCCTTTGCTGACACAAGGCTGAAATTACACACACGCACAATGTCCATGAGCTCTCCCCGATGATTGACAAGCAGAGTTTTCTATGACTCAGGACCTAATAAGAAGCTATAAAGATGACGGTTTGTCTGCTTTCTGTTTCAAATGACATACTCTGAGAGAAAGCCGATTCGTAATTGCCCTGGAATTAGCGATGACATACAGTTTTGAAGGTTGTGTTTTTCTTTTTACAGAAGTGCTGCCCTCAGGATCATAGCACACAATCGGCAGTCCTCATCAGATTCGTCTGACATTGCTCAACGGGGCTTTTTCCTGCTGATCAACTTCAAAACAGCAGCTATAAACAAACTAAAAGGAGAGTGTGCATTTATCAATAGGAACACATTGATAAAACTCCTCTTCATCATTCTGGGAGAGCAGTGTTGAACAGAACTTGTGCCAAGACAAGCTATTACATGACTCCAGCCTTTCCCAGGCCTACTTTCATCCCCAAACCTAATGATCCCAATGAATCTAGCACATAACACTCTATAAGTACTGTGCAGTATGTGTGTGGTCACTGGCCTAATGGTGGCTTTATTGCCTTCATACAATACATTACTGTATCACTGTATGTGTCTTAGGGCAGAATGTTGGTGGTGGATTAGTATAAAAGGGTAATCCACAGGGGAAAAGATTTAGAACATCTGTAGGATTCACGACATTGTGTCTGTGCATCCCAAGTACATCACAGATCAGAGCCAATAGAGACGTCGAAGCATCAAATGTCAAACCTATAGGCCTACATTTCTGAGTTACTACAAGGAAACTAGAGTTAGTTTTATAATAACAATGGCCTACAAAAGTAATTAATACGAAAGCTGCTTGGTCATCACCACAGAACAGCAGTGAAAGCACATTCCCGCCCTGAAACTGATAGCAACCACTTCCTCTGATGCACACAGAAACATAATGTTGGCCTGGCAACCTGTTGCCACGGCACCTACGGATAGGAACCCTGGACACAGATTAAACCCGAGGCCCGTCTGTGCTGATGCATTTCCAGCAACTCCACATACACTAGGTCAGCATTAAAAGTTGACTACTCGAAGTAGCTACTTAAGGTTTGGATGGCAACAGACCTTGAAGGACCTTTTCTGTAAAGAAGGGGTAATTAGGAGTTCATTCTCCTCACGATTAACTGCAACATTGGCATGGATTAGGAAACACACCATCGTACAGGCATAGCAAAGCCTGATGTGCGACAAAGAGTAGCCCTTACCAACATTGTGAATTTACATTACGCAAAATAAATGTACTGTAAAGGTCAAGCCAATACGGCACATGCTACAGCATTAGCATAATGACAGCCTAGTGTTCTAGACCTAACGCTACAGCATTAGCATCATGACAACCTAGTGTTCTAGACCTAACGCTACAGCATTAGCATCATGACAACCTAGTGTTCTAGACCTAACGCTACAGCATTAGCATCATGACAGCCTAGTGTTCTAGACCTAACGCTACAGCATTAGCATCATGACAGCCTAGTGTTCTAGACCTAACGCTACAGCATTAGCATCATGACAGCCTAGTGTTCTAGACCTATGATTAGCATGGCATTGTTGGGTTGTCTAAAACTGGAGTGCCCGGAGGCCAAAGCAGTTTACTGAACTGTACTTGCGGGTGCCTCTGTCTTTACATCACCAATATAGCGCAGCCTAAGGGGTAGAGCTAACATTCAACTCAAACCAATACAGACGATCCCACGATAACCAAGTAGGCACCACATTTGACAGGCAGGATATCCTTCCTTTCCGTTTTGTGGTGTGCGAACACCACAAAACGGAAAGACATCAAATATGAATTGCTTTCCACAGGGTGCCCATTGCATGAAGAGACATACATTTGTAGCCTAGTTTAGTATAGCTAGCCACAGGTAAGATTCAGATTCATTGTATTCCATATAGAGAGCAATAGTAATGGCGTCATTTTGTAGGCAAGCGACTCGGCCATGGCTCGTTGGCGAAAGCCTATGAGGAAATTAATGTTTTTTTTGGGATAAATGCCAAATATAAGGTCTGTAGTAAACACAGGCTTAGGAGATCTTATACGCTTTGCTCTATGAGAATCAGCTAACTTCCCTTCTTTCTGAATTTTGAAGCATTTATGTAATCAAAACAAGCACATAAAGGCTTCATAATGGTAATGTTAACGGACTGATCTCACAGAACAAAATGTATAAGACCTAAGCCGGTGTTAACCTCAGACCTTATTTTCTGTGTTTATCCCAGAACCCCATTACATTTCCCCCATAGGAGTGGCTGAACGAACCAGAGGTAACTATTTTCAGTTTTTTAGGACTACAAGCTGGCGAGCTTGATAGTGTACATGAAGGTCAATGCACATGAAGTCATTACTGTGTGTGTGTAATGGCAAGTGTACTATAGCATTTAGATCACTTTAAGAGATGACTAGAGCAATTTCTGTCAATTATATTCCTAATGACCACTAGAAAGACCAAAGACCACAAGCAAAACATTTAAAGATGGGCGTCTAGTTGAGGATGTGGAATTACAAGGGAACACAGCCTGTATTTATGCACTGGGTCACAGTCAGGGTTAACGACAAACTTACAGGAGCTGTGTGGACTTGCAGACATCTTATCAGTCTAGCTCATCTCTCTAACATCAAAGATTCCTCATTCAAAGAACCTGCCCACCTTCACAGAGGAGAACCGAGACAGACTACTGCTTTGGCCTGTGGGGAAACAATGGAGACAGGGAGATATTTTGGAGGAGAATAAGCCCACATTCAAGGCGAAACCCCCTGAATGAACAGATACAGCAGCTTGTTCATGTCATATTAATAATATTCAATCATTTCTACAGGTTTCCTGACAGCCAGCATGTTAATAGATAGAGGTGAGCCAGTAACAAACATTTAAACATCCGGTTATCAGGTTGTTTAGAAAAGTGCACACCACCTAAGTTCACCAACACAACAGACGTTAGCACTTTGCAGAGCTTAGGCAAACTTTAAAGTGGTTTAATGTTGGATAGTGAAGAGTTTAGACAAACAGGCTGTTGAAGTCTCCTAGCGGGAATAGGTGACGTGGCGGTGTGGAGGAGAGGGCAGAGGTCCACAGCAGCAGGAAACCTGATAAAGGGTAAAAGGAGCTCTGAAAAACAGGACAAGGGCTACAAAACAGCCAGGGACGGGGCCAAGGAACACAGCAGAACAATACTAAATAAGTAGTTACCTGTGTAACAAAATGCCTGTTTTCATAAGATTGTTTTCATAAACCTAGTCAACTTATGTAAAAAAACACAATTCGAGTAGACAAGACATCACAGAATAAGTGAGGTGTATAGTGATATGAAGATTTATCAAGCTCTGTTTCACTGTACTGCTTTGCAACCCAGTTACTCCAAGTTATAGTAGACCTACAATAGAAAAGGTGCCAGTTATGTCAACACAACTTACAGCGTGTTAAAATGTATCTTATTCGTTTTCGTAATGCAATCCATTGAGACCGAGAGAGATCTCAACTGCTTCAGTGACTGATTAAGAAATTAGGGATTGAATAGTCCCAGCTCATCCTTCCATCTGTATAATAGCCTTTCTGGATAAATTCCATAAAACCAGGGAAAACCCAAGGGATTTTGGTTTCCCACATGCCAAGACCTAAACAGTGTTATAACTGAAACACACATACAAACAGGCTGCTTCCTGCTTTTGGACAGCAGGACTGTAAGCTTTTCATAGGAATCTCTTTCATAAAATTCTCAGGAATGTGAGTCAGGTTGCACATTGTGAGATTTTACAATTAATCCAAAGATAGTTGCACTATAACAACTGATATGTTGTTAAAGCATAGATGACCTGCCAATGCAGTTCAGGGTAAACCCAGATAGGCTGCCATCTTGCAGGTTTGTCATTTCACAGATAGGTGCTCACAAAGTGTGACACGTAGACCAAACTCAAATAAATGAATACAGTCCCTTTACCTAGGCATTAACTGGTAATTGCAACGCCTAGTCCTAAATTGCAGTTGAGGATGATCCCCCCTGCTTTTCAATACGTTACAACAGAAACCTGTGAACAGACCACACATGGGCCAGTGTCGGGAAGACAGTCTATCAGATGCCTATCACCTCGTTAGAGACTCTTCTAAAAGAGTGAGGGGACTTAACTGCATTGTCTCGATTACCTTTCTCAAACTCCATGAATTAATCAATGAATGAATGGCATGTATTCACTCATTCCTCAGATTTATTGTCAACTGTCTGGAGCCCTAACAAACCCCTAGAGCCTCAAATTGCATTCTCACACAATCAATCATTGTTGATACTTGTCACACCAAGCTCTCAAAAGTGTCTGAGGGGAGCTGCTACTGTTTCCCGATGTTACAGTATCTAACACAAAACCTGATATCTTTCATATAATAGACTGACGTTTGTTATGAGGCAAAGAAGTCATTACCCAAGGATAGATTCCCATCATGCATTTGTTTTCTGCACATTAATTATGTTCCTGGCAGCCTGTTTGTTGAGCAAATATTAAGTGGCACGAGCGGTCACGCCTGATGTAAGCTAGCCTAAACCCAGTGAACTCAACAGGCCTCTCAGCAAGAAAACCTCATAAGGAAAGAGATCACATTTGAATCAGAGCTCAAATCAAGAGTTCATCTCCTTTAGGGAAACAACCATTCTATGGACTCTGATTATTCATTTAATGACAAAAAGGAATATTCTGTGCCAAACTTAGTTACAAATCTCTTCAATGCCATTTTATTCCTATACAGCAACATTTCAATATGTGAGCCACTTGGCCTGTGCCTTTCCCATTTATTTTACTTTGAACTGTATGGCTCGTACTCCTGGTGAGGCAAAGATCTCCCTGAGCAACAGGTGCATCACAAGGAGATACAGACAATGGACGCCAGTCAGTCCACCATTGTGTCAATTAGGAGTCTGCTTTCCTCATCTATCAATCAGTCGTTGCTCATCTCTGCTTGATAGCAGTCTACCAGCTCCCTTGAGAAGATCAGTCATAGAGGTCAGGTTACAAAGGCTCCTCAGACACCCAAAACTGCCCACTTCCCAGGGTGCTAATCAACACTCAAGTATAAACCAACATTGCCCTCTGTTTTAATAGGACTCTAACCCTGCTGCAAGGTCAAGGGTCAGACTGGGGGGGCAGAGGCCAAACAAGGACCCTGAGAAGAGTAAGTGGAGACCAAGAAAGAGGGGAAGCTACTTTACATCCATCCTTCTCTCCATTCTAAAGTCATCACATAATTATGACCAAAAACTAAACAAATTATGAGCAATCTGAAGGACCCGGACAATAATTCAACCTCTTTACCAGACTTTTAATGTAATAATTTATGATGGCAAAACACTGACAGAAGCAGGTCTCCAACCACCAGCTCAGAGAGAAATTACAGGCTGCAACATACACAGGTCTTATCCTCTCACTCAGACTCTGATAAGACTGCACAGCACGTTGTCGTATGTGAGTGCACCTTTTGTGATTTGGGGGCGGACATATGAGGTAGCTTCATCCCCTCCGAGGTCCTGATGAGACAACACAGCTCCAAGAGGATCAGGCCCTGCCTTGAAAAGAACACTTTCCCTTCTCCAGATGTCTGACACAGTCACACAAGAATACCCACTGCATCAAATCTCTGCCCTTTGCATTGTATAAAATGCCTGTAACGTCCTGAGGAGACAGAAATGCAGTACAGAGCCCACAATACAGGACTGATCATTATCGTAAATTCACATTTTGACTCTATAAAACGGTAGACTGCATGCACATCTTAACCCCTCAATAAGTAAACATTATTAGGGAACTATTAATCATTGAGGCCTCCTGCTGGGGCTGGTTCCCCTGCATGTGCACCAATTCAGAAGATGTCCCATTCTGGTAAACCTGCTGTAACAGTCCTCCTCGGGGTAACCACATGGGTGACTGGAGATCAAAACAAACTAAACAAAAATTATATATATATATATGTCACGTGCCGAATACCGTGAAATGCTTACTTCCAAGCCCTTAACTCTATTTTCTTAACCAACAATGCAGTTAAGAAAATATTTACTAAATAAAGTAAAAATGACAATGAGGCTATATACAGAGGGTACCGGTACCGAGTCAATGTGCGGGGGTACAGGTTAGTCGAGGTCATTTGGACTAACAGATTGAGCATTGTACCAGTTTGACTTCAGAAAACGGTGCTCTGCTCAGGATGTTCTAATGCAAGGCTACAGTGCACACAAAGGACAGTGACTCCCAGGACAGTTGGAGAGACTTTTAAATAAAGCAGATGAGCCAGCCATGGGGACACATCTCACTGTTATGTCCCTTCAGAAAGACTACAGTTGAGGTAGAGGTTGTACCTAAAACATTACATTGAAAACTGCAAAAAAGCCAGAAAACATTTAAAAGTAATTTTTTCTCCATTCTTGGATGACCAGGGGTGTTCAGGCAATTACACCTGCTCGTCAGGTCAACTCCTCACCACTTTGATGAGGACACAACTGAACAGGGGTGGATCAAAACCCTGCTGAGCCAGGGCAGGACCATGGGAGGAGGGGGCAATGGATTAGCTGAGTGTGCAGTTGAGATACATTTCCCCAAAATGAATTTTCTATAGATAACTGCACTGACTTGAATCAGGGCGTGTGGTCTGAAACCAGCAAGCCTCCTCGGGTTACAGAGAAACAACACCACTAGCTCAGGGAGAGAACAGTACAATGCAAACAGAGGCTTTTCTAATTAGCTCGTTTTACATGTGTAGAGCAAACCTCAACGGATAAAAAAATATCCCTGCTATTGCTTTATCCAAGGTGACAAACATTCAGCTCAGTCATGCAAAAGCTCTGAAATGTCCTCTGAGGTCATTCATTCACCTGCACAACCCTACTTGGATAGAAGAACATGCCCTGACATTACCTTACGAGAGAAGCCTCATCTTTTTTATTTGCACAGGTAATGCAGGGAAAACATATTCTGACCTCTTGAAATCGTATCTACAAATATCACAATTCCGCAGCTACATATGTTCACATTGTCTGGTCCTTGGATTAATGCACAGCAGACAGATTTACTTAGCATTGGCACAAAGGCATACATGTTACCAAATATACCTCAATGATGCACACTCAAATATTATAATCCAGGACAACTGTTCTCTTTGCTTAGACAGAACTGAGTCCAGATCAGTCCTAAAGGTGAAGGTGGCCCTCGTCTCCTGCTACAGTAGCAGCCCTTTATTTAGCCTCAGAAAGCAGCTGAGTCATTGCACCAGCACAGGGGAACAACATGCTGAGAGAGAAAGAGTGAGAGAAAAAGAGAAAGACGTGCCATCACTGTTGTGCTGACTAAAGCACTAGCACCGGACCAGAGGGCCAGAGCAGCGAGCAAGCTAGCTCACACAAGCAGAGTACAATCCTGCTCCAACACAGGAGGTAGCAGCTAGAACTCATTATAGCTCCAGAACACACTATTACCAAAATTATTTTTCTTTAAGTCTATATTGATGTCTGCCATTTCATGCATATTTCAAAACTAGTTATTTTAGAGGAGAATCTCATGTCTGTACGATATCAGTGGAGATAAAAAGGTGTTGGCATGGTTGGTGAGGATAGGAGACAAAGTGAATGTTGTAATTAATTCATAGCGGTAGAGATGACTGCTTCATTGAGGACAGAAAGCAAGAGCGCTGTACTCGTCATCTGCTCAAAACTCAGAGGAACACCAACCACCTATACTCTAGAATGGACAGACATGCCAAGTGCTGCTAATCATTAACAAACTAACCCTTCCAGTAAAAAACCAATGTAACTGGTTCTGAAAAATCTAGACCCTTGTGTACCCATAACAGTTCCATCCTTTTTAGAGTTCACTGGGCCTCAGTCTGTCATAGTACCTATAGAGCAGGTTGTCAAACATGTCCACAAAGACTGGGGCCAGGCTGGGTCTGAAGGCCTGGTTACTGATGGGCTTTGATTTAGCTCCTCTCTCCCTGGGGCCAGAGGGGCAGCTAGCTACACAGCAGGCAGTGTGGATGACTCATCCTGACTCTCACACAACGGCCTGATGAGAGATTCACATAGTAAAACCTGCTGCGGTGCTGAGCCTTTCAATTAGCTTTACAGTGGGGCCCCTGGTCCAGACTGATCCACACTGAAAACAGGGCCTGCGGCAGCCATTTTGCAACCATACTGTGACTCACTGACAGGGTCTCCAGGAGTCTCTCCCAGTCAGAGCCGACAGTGCTCACGTGTCAGATGGCATTCCAGCACGTCTGGTGTGAAGATAAAACCACAACAGGGAGGGGGCCTGTCGAGTCAGGTACTGAATATCTCAACGAAATATGTTCCCCTTTTGTCTGCCTTGAGAGAGTGGACACAAACACGGCGACGCGACTCAGACGCAGGCACGGAGATCTGAGGGGAGGCTCTGTAACGTGTTGCTCATGCTGGCGACAGCGGTTGTGTAAGACATGGGATCAGATCAGCACAGAGCTCATAGCAGCTAATCAAGGAGCCCTTTCACTTTCAGAGAAAGTATTATACTTACTGTGCCAGGATTGTGGCTACAGTCACTGTAGCTGTGGGAGGGAATGATGATCTCACACACGCACATAACCATAAAACATACAAAGGGTCTGGCATGACCCAGTTCATCTCTGAATGCTAAATCACTGTCATCCATTAGTACCATGGGTTAAAGCACCAACACAATTCTGAGTGGCAAGGGAGTGAGCACCAAAAGAGTGAGCACCATGATCTAAATGGTGAATCAACCAATTTGCTACACAGCGAAAAGGATAAAACAGCAAGGGTAGAAAGAAAAGAGCCCACAGTCTCAGTTTGAAGATAAACAAGGACACAGAGAATCGTCCGTTTTGCCTTTTGTCATCGGTCTTGACAAAATTAGCAACACAAAGCGCATACTTTACAGTGAGCTTTGTGAATCATTCCCAGGGTCCAGGTAAAACAGCGCTGACATTTAGTCAGGATTAACAAGCGTTTTACAGACTCACCCAACCAAATCAATGACTATCATAGACCACCAGATAAGGCCTGGCCACTGGGGACTGTGCAGCAGAGTGGAAGACTATCTCAGGTTACTCTGTCAGACCTTGCCACTTAACCTTTAGTTTCCCACCCACTTCTCCCATTACAGCATTAGGGCTTGACATTGGTCAAACACAGAACGCAGGGTGAAGTCCAGTAGAGTAATTTAATTGTACCACTACAACAATGTGTGTGTGTGGTGTTACCTGGGTGGTGTCCCTCAGTCTCCTCCAACACCAGGCTGTTCATGCACTTGATCTCCCATTCCTGTACCTCTGTGCTCCACAGGGCTGGGAGCAGGACACAGTGCTGAGAGCTGGGGGGGGGGGGGGGGGGGGGGGGGTTGGACAGACAGGGCCTCACATTAGTACACCAAAGCTTCTTAAATCATCTCCTCCTCATTCAACTTTCATCAGCCATCACATCAGTTGGAGGCAATACATGGCAGAGGGCTTTATAGGCAAAAATAAAAAAACATGCCAAATTGAATTGGCCCTCAAGACTCAATGGCATTAGTCAAACCTTTGATACAGTGCATTCGGAAAGTATTCAGACCCCTTGATTTTTCAAAATGTGTTAGGTTACAGCCTTATTCTAAAATGGATTATTGTTTTTTTTCAATCTACGCACAATACCCCATAACGACAGAGCAAAAACAAAGTTTTGAAATAAAAAAATAAAACTGAAATATAACATTTACATAAGTATTCAGACCCTTTACACAGTACTTTGTTGAAGCACCTTTTGACAGCAATTCAAATCAAATTTTATTTATAAAGCCCTTTTTACATCAGCAGATGTCACAAAGTGCTATACAGAAACCCAGCCTATAACCCCAAACAGCAAGCAATGCAAATGTAGAAGCATGGTGGCTAGGAAAAACTCCCTAGAAAAGGCAGAAACCTAGGAAGAAACCTAGAGAGGAACCAGGCTCTCAGGGGTGGCCCTTCTGGCTGTGCCGGGTGGAGATTATAACAGTACATGGCCATTAAGGCCAGATTTTTCTACAAGATGTTCAAACGTTGATAGATGACCAGCAGGGTCAAATAATAATCACAGTGGTTGTAGAGGTTGCAACAGGTCAGTACATCAGGAGTAAATTTCACTTGGCTTTACATAGCCGGGCATTTTGAGTTTGAAATAGCATGTGCGGTAGAGAGAGAGAGTTGAAAACAGCAGGTCTGGGACAAGGTAGCACGTCCGGTGAACAGGTCAGGGTTACAGCCGAGTCTTCTTGGGTATGACACCACAAGCTTGGCACACCTGTACTTTGAGAGTTTCTCCCATTCTTCTCTGAAGATCCTCTCAAGCTCTGTCCGGTTGGATGGGGAGCGTCGCTGCACAGCTATTTTCAGGGCTCTACAGAGATGTTTGATCGGGTTCAAGTCCGGGCCACTCAAGGACATTCAGAGACTTGTCCTGAAGCCACTCCTGCGTTGTCTTGGCTGTGTGTTTAGGGTCGTTGTCCTCTGAACCTTTGCCCCAGTCTGAGGTCTTGAGCGCTTTGGAGCAGGTTTTCATCAAGGATCTCTATACTTTGCTCCATTCATCTTTCCCCTCCATCCTAACTAGTCTCCCAGTCACTGCCGCTGACAGCATGATGCTGCCACCACGCTTCACCGTAGGGATGGTGCCAGGTTTCCTCCAGACGTGACACTTGGCATTCAGGCCAAAGAGTTCAATCTTGGTTTCATCAGACCAGAGAATCTTGTTTCTCATGGTCTGAGATTCCTTTAGGTGCCTTTTGGCAAACTCGAAGCGGGCTGTCATGTGCCTTTTACTGAGAAGTGGCTTCCATCTGGCCACTACCATAAAGGCCTAATTGGTGGAGTGCTGCAGAGATGGTTGTCCTTCTGGACGGTTCTCCCATCTCCACAGAAGAATTCTGGAGCTCGTCAGAGTGACCATCGGGATCTTGGTCACCTCCCTGACCAAGGCCCTTCTCCCCCGATTGCTCAGTTTGGCCGGGCGGCCAGCTCTAGGAAGAGTTGGTGGTTCCAAACTTCTTCCATTTAACAATGATGGAGGACACTGTGTTCTTGGGGACCTTCAAGCTGCAGACATTTTTTAGTACCCTTCCCCAGATCTGTGCCTCGACACAATCCTGTCTCGGAGCTCTACAGACAATTCCTTCGACCTCATGGCTTGGTTTTTGCTCTGACATGCACTGTCAACTGTGGGACCTTATATAGACAGGTGTGTGCCTTTCCAAATCATGTCCAATCAATTGAATTTACCACAGGTGGACTCCAATCAAGTTGTAAGAACATCAAGGATGATCAATGGAAACAGGATGCACCTGAGCTAAATTTCAAGTCTTATAGCAAAGGGTATGAATATTTATGTAAATAAGGTATTTCAGTTTATTTATTTGTTATAAATTTGCTAACATTTTTACAAACCTGTTTTCGCTTTGTCATTATGGGATATTGTGGGTAGAATGTTTTATTTAATCCATTTTAGAATAAGGCTGTAACGTAACAAAATGTGGAAAAAGAGGTCTGAATACTTTCCAAACACTGTATATCATGGTTATAAAAGCATTCAGTTAAAAAGCCCTTGGAGCTGGGACACAGCTTGTCCCTATGCTTCACGTCACACTGGCTCTTACATAAGCACCGTGAAAAAGTGGCCGCATTGATGTGGGCTTGTCAGTGAAAGGTTTCAAACAAATGAACTGTCAACTCCTCAGGCAGAGGGACGTGTCAATAGGCCTGAATGGAGATAAGGGGGGAAAGGGGTGGGCAGTGATGGCAGCCACTTTGGGGCAGAAACCAATAGAAACCATTCATCAGATGATTGTCTATTGGCGTTTCACTTGTCCACCTTCAACACTGTATTAAAACAGATAGGAGAGCCTGGCCATGGCCAAGGATTTTGAGTTAAAGCCAGGGTTAAATCAGGTCTCTTGAAAATATAATATTCTCAATGGGGTAACTGGGTGATAGGATACAACATAAAAACATCCTCTAACCGGCTGACTGCTCATAGCCTATTCCCTCTGTATGGATTACTTTCTGACCCTATACCCTTCTGCTTCCCCTACCCCACTCGCTCTCACTGAACAGGAAGGCTGTGGTTTCAGGGAACTTGTTTCTTCCTTTCGTAAGAGGATCCTGGCCCCGAGACAGAGAAACCACTTAGCCATAACCTCACTGGGCTGGCACACAGATGCCAGGCTAGAAACAAGAGCCCTTCAATGTGGCATATGGCTCGGTGCCTGCTGACAACCGTCAAAAGGCTAAATATTCAAATGTAAACGACAACTAAATGACTTGTTTTGCTGGGAACATCCTCAAAGAAACTGAAAAGTTATTTCATAACTAATCTCAAATAATATCTCAATTTTATATTGCTTTGTAAAGTAATGCTTCTAATAGAAAGGCGAGTTAAATATACTAGTCGAGACCTAGAATGATCCCAAGTTGGGCAAAATCAATAAACATCCAATAGGTCCCTAAAATGCCATCTAAATCCTACAAGGACACCAACAAAACGTTTGCAAGGCACCGTTGCTATAACGACTCCCCCATCCAATAAAACAAAAGCCTGGATATGCTCATGACACTCAATGTGCTGTTTATCCCACAGTAACAAGAGGCTAATCCACAGTTCTTCGGCCAAAGTAAACATTCTAGAGAGAAATATTTATTCAAAAGAGAGGCAGGCAAGATAACGATTAAAAGGATTTGGTAAAGATATTAAAACAAATATGATAAATGCTTCACATCATGAACTGCCCAGCCACTGTTATATACACAAACCCAGTACCCTTGCCATGTTTCCATAGGGACCGCTAGACGTCAACAAAATATGTTTAACTGCTGACGCTATATTGACTGATTTGCATTCATGAGACAAGTCCATTTAAGAGATGCTTGTATTGAAAACTAGAATTCAAAACGGCTGTCCACTAAAAGCAAATGTCTATAAAAGGTTCCTATGATGATTTAAAAACTACTGCGTGGGCCCAAGTCTCTATGTTTTTGAATGAGGAAGGATGATTTAACACTCACACATCCACAGGTACCCTTAGCAGCATGGGTAGCACGGCAGCCTCGTCAGTCAGGTTCATTAGCCGAGACTCCAGCAGCTGGATGATGGTGAGACCAGTACGGAACACAGCAGAGAGGCCTGGACACAAAGTAACCAGAAATATAGCTGGCAAAACAGCATAACCAGATCTGGGACCACTTAGTCAATAACAGTCAGTATAATAAAACACTAGATTGTGAGATAAGCAGGGACCTCTAGGACCTGTGAGCGTGTTTAGAAGGCAAACAAATCAAACTCAATTTTTGTTGACAAGATTAGCAAATTTAGGCATGACATGCAAACAACAAAACGCTGAGCTTTCATATTCATGTATAACAGACCAAATAATGAAAGACAATCGCTGTAGTTGAGTTCTGCAAAGTGAATGTGGAAGAGGTGAAAAAATTGGTGCCATCTATAATTAAGGACAAGCCACCTTGTACCGACAACCTGGATGGTAAATTGCTTAAGTTGGTAGCGGAATACGTCACGATTCCGGTTTGCCACATCTTCAATTTAAGCCTTGAAGACAGCATGTGCCCTCAGGCCTGGAGCGAGGAAAGGTAATTCCGCTGCCCAAGAATAGCAGAGCACCCTTTAATGGTTCAAACAGCCTGTTACCAGTGCTTAGACTTGACCAAATAAAAAGTTATTTTACAGAAAACAAATTAACAAACCTTCAGCATGCTTATAGGGAAGGGGACTGAACATGCTCGGCACTGACATACATTACTGATGATTGGCTTCAAGAAATTGATAGTAAGAAGATTGTGGGAGCCGTTTTGTTAGACTTCAGTGCAGCTTTTGACATCATTGATCCTAACCTATTGCTGAAAACTTAGACGTTATGGATTTGCATCCTCTGCCTTATGGATTGAGAGTTACCCATCTATAGAACACAGAGGGTTTTCTTTAATGGGCGCTACTTGAATGCAAATTGGGTTGAGTGTGGTGTACCACAGGGCAGCTTGGGCCATTATTGTTCAGTTTTTACTAAACTACCTTCCACTGACCTTGAATAAAGCCTGTGTGTCTATGCACGCTGACGACTCAATAGTATACACGTCGGCTACGAAAGTAAAATTAATAATTGACACCCTTAACAGAGCTCCAGTCCGTTTTAGAATGGTAACAAGCAATAGGCTGGAGCTAAATAATCGCAAAAACTAATAGCATCGTTTTTGGGACAAATCCCTCACTCAACACTAAAACGCATTTAGATCTATTATTGAATAAATGTGGCGATTGAGCAATTTGATGAGACTAAACTGCTGGGTGTAACCCTAGATAGCAAGCGGTCATGGTCAAAACATATACACTTAATGGTTGCTCAAATGGGAAAAGGTCTGTTCATGCCACCTGGGGTCTTTTCACAGTCCTCAAATACAGAACAAATTCAAGAAAGCGTACAGTATTATATAGAGACATTATTGCATGGAACTCCATTCCATCTCATATTGCTCAAATGAACAGCAAACCTGGTTTCAAAAAACAGATAAAGCAACACCTCACGGCACAACGCCTCTCCCCTATTTGACCTAGATAGTTTGTGTGTATGTATTGATATGTAGGCTGTGTGTGCCTTTTTTTTTTTATGTACGTAGTTCTGTCCTTGAGCTGTTCTTGTCTATTAATGTTCTGTATTATGTGATGTTTCATGTTTTGTGTGGACCCCAGGAAGAGTAGCTGCTGCTTTTGCAACAGCTAATGGGGATCCTAATCAAATACCAGTCGACCAGACAGGTCCTAGTTGTCACATCTGGACTACAGCCCAGTTGTGTGGTCACGTGCGACAAAGGGGGACATAGGTAAATTGCAGTTGTTCCAGAATAGAGCAAGTCGCTCTGGATAAGAGCGTCTGCTAAATGACGTAAATGTAAATGTATTGCACTTTGAAGTACACGGAGGGCAAATGTCAGTAACATTCATGTCAATCTCTCCTGGCTAAAAGTTGACGAGAGATTGATTGCTATTGGACTTTGTGCGAGGTGTCAAACACCAGATAAAATAACACCTTATGGCACAACAGGGACTGTGAAGAGACACAGCCATTTTTATATATGTTGTATTGTAATTTGCATTGTATTATGTAGGTGGGTGGCCTTGCACGAGCCTTGTGTGAGCTGGAACGGCTCATAGGGCAGGAGCCATCTCCCGTTTCTGAAGTGTGAGGCAGAGGCAGGAGATATATATATATATATATATATTGCATTTTGTTTTATTTCCTGTTTGGACCCCAGGAAGAGAAGTATTTATTAGATCCCAATAAATACTACTACTAAACCTCTAGTGTCAGTTAGTATTTATGGTGGATGTAGAGAAACCCTCAGAGTGCTGAGCCTTGCCTGGGAGCACCTCAGAGACTGCACACTACAGATACTCCTACACACTGCCCTCCTGCTTGACTTCACATTCATCCTGCCCTCAGTAACCCAACGCTCACTCACTTCCTTCCTTTCCATTTACTCATCCAGCCATCCTACGTAGAAAAAGCCCAATAGCATCATATCTCAGACACTGGCTTCCTACTTGTCTGTGTGGCTGTTCACACTCCAGTCTACAGGATCTGATCCAGTAGAGATACTGTACATACAATGTTAAGTGAGAAATAATACAGTGAAAATATAAGTGAACACAAGTGTAGGGTGAAAAATAATAACAATAATGTACATGACAGTGTTTACAGAATCCCAGTCTGCACTTCCATGTATGTATTACCATGCAACATGATGAGGTCCCATATGGCCAGCACAGAGTCCCAGCAGGGCAGGGAGGTGAACAGGGTTAGGAACCAAGGAATAACAAAATGGATGGGTGAAACCCTTACATCCTCCTAAAAGGAAAGAAAAAAGAGAATTTAGCAACAGAAAGTTGTATAATGAAAACTTTGACTTTCAGTTACATAATGAAATAAACTTTTTCAGCAGAACTCTATCAAGAGTCAGTGGTAAAATGCTGGACTCTGTACTTCAAATAAGGCATTAGAAACATTCACTCAAGTGCATTTAAGCCGCTGTGGTGTGCAGGCCGCCGGCACTGAATGGGCAGCTTTTCTCTGAGACGTGCTGAGTCAACACCGAGAAATAGAAAATCCCTCAAAAGACAGTCTAGGAGCAGAGGTTTAGTCCCACATTTAACAGGGCCTAAGGCTGCAGGTAGAGAGGGTGGGGAGACAGAGCGATGAGCCCAAAAAACTGTGCTGAGAGGTAGCTGCTTTCAGAACCATCATGGCCACACAGCTTCCCCCTTCTGATATAGAGCAGGAGGCATCTGGAAGCAAAAGCTTTCACTACTGTAGTTTCCAGGATAAAGCTGTGTGACACTACCATTGCCAACCCTCTTTCCGTATATGAGCTCAGACGGTTACTGGGAAGCAGCTGTGGATCTAGTGGTAAAACCCAGTCCCTGAGGACAATGTGCTGCAGTGATGGTCTCTGTGGGAAAGCCATGGGATTTTAGAGAGGAATGCACAGTGAAAGAGTGATAAGAGCCCTACATTTTAGGCATGTTCAGTCACCAAGCAGATTCCCCTCCCGAGATCCCTGAATAACAGTTTTATTGAAGTCCTCTCAATATGAGATTTGTACCTAAGAGCTACAAGTTGTATGCAGAGCTGGGTCCTCACACTTACTATGTGCTTGGAGAGCTGAGGTTTCCTGTGCTTGAGGAACTGGTGAAACACCATCGCTTGATGCTGGATCCTGACATTAGAAAGCAAAGACCAGTTAAATACGGTACTTCAGCAAGTAGGCAGCTTCATGTACAGTGGGGAAAAAAAGTATTTAGTCAGCCACCAATTGTGCAAGTTCTCCCACTTAAAAAGATGAGAGGCCTGTAATTTTCATCATAGGTACACGTCAACTATGACAGACAAAATGAGAAGAAAAAAAATCCAGAAAATCACATTGTAGGATTTTTTATGAATTTATTTGCAAATTATGGTGGAAAATAAGTATTTGGTCAATAACAAAAGTTTCTCAATACTTTGTTATATACCCTTTGTTGGCAATGACACAGGTCAAACGTTTTCTGTAAGTCTTCACAAGGTTTTCACACACTGTTGCTGGTATTTTGGCCCATTCCTCCATGCAGATCTCCTCTAGAGCAGTGATGTTTTGGGGCTGTCGCTGGGCAACACAGACTTTCAACTCCCTCCAAAGATTTTCTATGGGGTTGAGATCTGGAGACTGGCTAGGCCACTCCAGGACCTTGAAATGCTTCTTACGAAGCCACTCCTTCGTTGCCCGGGCGGTGTGTTTGGGATCATTGTCATGCTCAAAGACCCAGCCACGTTTCATCTTCAATGCCCTTGCTGATGGAAGGAGGTTTTCACTCAAAACCTCACGAAACATGGCCCCATTCATTCTTTCCTTTACACGGATCAGTCGTCCTGGTCCCTTTGCAGTAAAACAGCCCCAAAGCATGATGTTTCCACCCCCATGCTTCACAGTAGGTATGGTGTTCTTTGGATGCAACTCAGCATTCTTTGTCCTCCAAACACAACGAGTTGAGTTCTTACCAAAAAGTTCTATTTTGGTTTCATCTGACATTCTCCCAATCCTCTTCTGGATCATCCAAATGCACTCTAGCAAACTTCAGACGGGCCTGGACATGTACTGGCTTAAGCAGGGGGACACGTCTCGCACTGCAGGATTTGAGTCCCTGGCGGCGTAGTGTGTTACTGATGGTAGGCTTTGTTACTTTGGTCCCAGCTCTCTGCAGGTCATTCACTAGGTCCCCCGTGTGGTTCTGGGATTTTTGCTCACCGTTCTTGTGATCATTTTGACCCCACGGGGTGAGATCTTGCGTGGAGCCCCAGATCGAGGGAGATTATCAGTGGTCTTGTATGTCTTCCATTTCCTAATAATTGCTCCCACAGTTGATTTCTTCAAACCAAGCTGCTTACCTATTGCAGATTCAGTCTTCCCAGCCTGGTGCAGGTCTACAATTTTGTTTCTGGTGTCCTTTGACAGCTCTTTGGTCTTGGCCATAGTGGAGTTTGGAGTGTGACTGTTTGAGGTTGTGGACAGGTGTCTTTTATACTGATAACAAGTTCAAACAGGTGCCATTAATACAGGTAACGAGTGGAGGACAGAGGAGCCTCTTAAAGAAGAAGTTACAGGTCTGTGAGAGCCAGAAATCTTGCTTGTTTGTAGGTGACCAAATACTTATTTTCCACCATAATTTGCAAATAAATTCATTAAAAATCCTACAATGTGATTTTCTGGAGAAAAAAAATCTCAATTTGTCTGTCATAGTTGACGTGTACCTATGATGAAAATTACAGGCCTCTCATCTTTTTAAGTGGGAGAACTTGCACAATTGGTGGCTGACTAAATACTTTTTCCCCCCACTGTAATTAATAAAAGCTTCATAATGTGATATGCATTGAAACAACATTCTCACTTCTCCCCGGAGAGGTCAAACAGCTCTGACAGATATTTAGGCTTCTCTAGAAGAACTCCCAGAGCCCAGAAGGCCTCCTCTTCGCTTAGGTTCATAAGAAGCACTGCAGCAATGTATGACATTCCTGATAAAGATAAGGACAGTCAATAATGAGGCGCTACTAATATGGCTGAAATAGGGGGGAACCAATGTCAACCATGCAGATAATTTTTTTTAACACGTCACGTAATATTGGAAATGTTTGTGTGATTTGCTTGGCAGCATGGTGCTGTACCGGCTCAGCGTCTACTTAAACTCTGCTGCCTCCATGTGGCTGAAGTATGAAACTTAAAACATGTTACTACCAGCTGCATGGTAGGTTAATTGTTTTTGGATGTCACGAAAGCACATTAATAAGAAATATTAATATTGGAAACTAATTTAATGACAAAACTACAGTTACTGCATACATGTATCTGTGGCTCTGTCAAACAGCCCCAGCAATATTTAAAGAGTATCGTTCCAAATGTGTGCTTGCGTGCATACCGGTACGTGATTGCAAACAGTCAGCTCCCCTTACTGTACCTTGGCTATACCCAATCTTAGGGTTGTACTTTGCGTAGGCGATGAGGACTCGGAAGAGCTTTGCTTGGCCTTCAATTGCCTCAGGACTCTCGCCCATCAGCGTGCGATGAGTTGGGAAGGATCTCTCTGTACAAAGTAAGTTAAGAGTCAAATGCAATCAGCCATTCGTATCCAAGATGTGCAGAGAAAATGTACTGTAAGTACAGAGAAAAGGGGGTCTATAGAATATCCCATAACTCACGCAGATCCAGAGCGATCTGACGAAAGATGGTGACATCTGCACTGGAGTAGGCCAAGTCCGGGGGACAGTGGGAAGGAAGTCGGTTGGACCCCAGGTCATTCTCTGTGTCATTCAAAGTAGCTATGGCCGAGATGATGCCGTATTCACTAACTCCCAGGTCAACAAGGGGCCCTCGGATCTCATCCAAACATTTCTGTCATTGAATGAATACACAACAAATAAAACAATTGGCCTATGTCGATTAAATGTGTCACTGTAGAAGTAGGCTATGGAAACACAGGAGGAAAAACATTTAGCTTTTTAATAATGAAAGCGCAGGTATAGAGTGTACTTTTGAAAATGATAGGTACAGTGGTTATGGGACTGCACCTGATAATTAAAAGCACTGGATTCTCTTAGTTTGTCGATGTTGAGAAGGCACTTCCACACTCGCCCTCTTAAAGCTGGAGGGATTCCCATTCTCATAAATCTTTCAATCTGAAAAGGTTAAGAAATGTGGCCAATGTTCTACAAATCATGTTTAAAAATAGTGTGGTTATCTTACACTAGACATGGAACATTTCAGTTAAACTTTCACTGTGTCATGTGACTGCTTGAAGGTGTACCATTTAAACAAGTCAATAATGCATAGGCTGTTTGGCAAACAACCGCCTAAGGAAGGTCTAACCATAGCGTACTAATTTAATATGTTGCAAATGGTGTTCTATAATACGTTCAGTAGGACGAAATACCTGGCTTCTGCAGATGAAACTGGATCCATTCCAGTAACTAAGAAGCTCACACAATTCCTTCACCCTACGGGCGTTGAGTTGGGGGTAACTGGGGGAGAAACATAATTTAGCCTAACAGTCAGTTAGGTCAAACAATCAATTATCTTATTTGAATGCGCATGTCCAATCCAGTCTAGCTATTGAAAACTCTCGGCAGAGGTTGCCTTCTCTTTACAGTTCTCAGCCATTAGCTTCGCCCACGACTGCTTCATGTGAACTACAATACCGATGCTGTGTTTTAACGATTAGAAACGTCAATAAAAACCGCGTTCGATACATATGGCCCTTATCTTACATCAGCGAGAAAGAATCCTTCAAATAAATAAAAATATACACTTAAAGGCGTAACATGGTCATTCTGACGTCTGCATTGGCCGTGCAGCATTTACGTGACATGACCTCTGCAGAAGTCAGGGATTTATACTTCTTGCGCTTCGCAGAGCTGCTGTGAAGGAAGTTGTCAAGAAAGTGAGTTTGTTTACACAGGACCTCCCGCGGTCACCTACCGCTATACGGAGCCCTCCACATTGTTACAAAATTTGAGAGGAGCACGGCGATGCGGTAGAAATCAATTTGGCCTCGGTTGGGAGGCTTCGCAATTGCGTCACACCATCCATATCGCGCCTCCAACCACATTTTCAGATCAAGCACGATTTGGCTCTTACTGTAGTGCCTCCATCCTACGAAACTACACTTTCCGAGTTACACACAGGTGTTCGGAGCATACTAGAGAGCTAATTAGCACAGGTGGTCGCCTCTGTCTATTTTCCGTAAACAAGTGCTGTAACGCTAACCCTATCAAGGTGTGTATCAATATAAAACTATTGGTTTTTGAAAATTATTTATCGCTATGAAAGATAAGGTTGTTATGTTTCCTAAACCGTACTGCAAGTGATGCAGGTCAATGTTCAGACCGAGCATCGGGGATCTTAACAAAACTCCCCCTACAGAATACGCCTTTGCACAATTACTTGTGTAATGGAACTGAGGGTCGTGTTTAAGGGCTAAGTCTCGTCCTGTCCAACAAAAACAGGCTAAAAAAAGTTGATAAACCTGAATCCAATCTTTAAAACCTTGATTGTCATTAATGAAATTGAATTGAATGTAAATAAGCCTACCTGTAATGGTGACATCGGTGTTGAAGTTTTTGGTCCTTTCCTTTAGTATGGGCAAACCCGAATTCGTCAAACCCCAAACTCTCAGTAGTGCGCCTTTTAATTGAGAATGTGCTGCTGCTTCTTCTTCTTCCCCATTCTAAATGAGTTACTTTGTAACTGTTTCAAGGACTGTGCATGAATGTTATTCTGTTCGCTACTTTGTTTCTCTGGCGCACTGTCAACGTTCAAACACCGCGCCTGTTATTTCTGTTTACGTCATTCACAACTGACAAATGAAAGCGGGTGTATTCAAGATCCACAACTGCGTCAAAAGTTTTGATATGTAGCCTACTGAGCAGCTTTTGCTCCGAATTAGGCCAATATATCTGATGAATTTTGATGATTTGTTACGTTTTCAATTCTATCTGTACTATCAAATAAATTGAGCCTTTGTATCTTGTAGCAAACAGTGGTGGTGCAATGACCCGTGTGTAACAGGTGGAGTTCTTGAATGCCCCCTTATGGCCATTGACAGTCCAAGGTGTTGTGAATTGTTATCAAGGGTGGGGCTAATTGCCAACAGTATAAAAGCCAGGCTTTTCGTGTAGTTTAGGTGGGATCCATTACATTGTAGGTGATTGTGGTGTAGCACAAATCACACATGTCCCAAAGCTGAGGTATTATATATTTTCGAGGATATAGGGGCTAATTAAACCCTCCAATAGGCATTTTGACCTTGCCAGTAAGGCTACAGGCTCCAAAGTGAAGTTATATCCCAACATGCGCTGTGATATGTTTGGAGTTTGTTCAATTTCATATGAAAGTATTGAGAGGCGTGCCTAATTATATGACTTGCGTTTGTTTGTGTCTGATTACAAGGCTTGACACAAAAAACTAATGAAATACCTCCCAAATTACATGTTTAACTGTTACTGAGGTTTATGTCTTGTAAAATGACAGCGGGAAATTGTTAATTTGAATTTTGTGCATGTTTTATTAAAATGTGGAACATGAAGTCATGAGTGTGTCCCAAAGTTAATGGGTTTATTGATCCCCTCGCCACTCGATGGAAGTCATCCTCAGAGTTTCGTCAGCAACACTTGACAACAGAGGGCCCTCCGAACGAGTTGGTATGGGAGAGAGGTTGGTTTGGGATTCTCCATAAGTATAGTCCACCTAAACCTGTTCTCCTTGTTCCTGCTCTCCTTGTTCATGGGCACCTGTTCCCATGAATTTTGTAACACATTTTTTTTGTTTGTTGTGGCCCAATACCTAGCCATTTAGCTATAGCCTTACTACATCCCAATTGTCAAAAGTGTATTCTCTCCATCTCCTCTCCTGATGCAGTCATCTGGAAACCCAGGCTAGATTAATGGGAAATTCCACCACCTTTCAAACTTATTTTCATTATCTCCAGCACAATACCACATACACTACATGGCCAAAAGTATGTGGACACCTGCTAGTCGAACTTCTCATCCCAAAATCATGGGCATTAATATGGAGTTGGTCACCCATTTGCTGCTATAACAGCCTCCACTTTTCTGGGAAGGCTTTCCACTAGATGTTGGAACATTGCTTCCATTCAGGCACAAGAGCATTAGTTAGATCGGACACTGATGTTGGGCGATTAGGCTTGGCTCGCAGTCGGCGTTCCAATTCATCCCAATGGCATTCGATGGGGTTGAGGTCAGGGCTCTGTGCAGGCCAGTAAAGTTCTTCCACACCGATCTCGACAAACCATTTCTGTACGGACCTCGCTTTGTGCACTGGGCATTGTCATGCTGAAACAGGAAAGGGGCTTCCCCAAACTGTTGCCACAAAGTTGGAAGCACAGAATCGTCTAAAATGTCATTGTATGCTGTAGCGTTAAGATTTCCCTTCACTGGAACTAAGGGGCCTAGCCCGAACCATGAAAAACAACCCCAGACCATTATTCCTCCTCCACCAAACTTGACAGTTGGCACTATGCATTGGGGCAGGTAGCGTTCTCCTGGCATCTGCCAAACCCAGATTCGTCTGGACTACCAGATGGTGAAGCGTGATTCATCGCTCCAGAGAACACAGGACAGACGATTTCTACGCGCTATGCGCTTCAGCACTCAGCGGTCCCGTTCTGTGAGCTTGTGTATCCTACCACTTCACGGTTGAGCCGTTGTCTAGGTTGTTGCTCCTAGACGTTTCCAGTTCACAATAACAGCACTTACAGTTGACTGGGGCAGCTCTAGCAGGGCAGAAATTTGACGAACTGACTTGTTGGAAAGGTGGTATCCTATGACGGTGCCACGTTGAAAGTCACTGAGCTCTTCAGTATGGGCCATTCTACTGCCAATATGTCTATGGAGATTGCATGGCTGTGTGCTCGATTTTATACACCTGTCAGCAACGGGTGTGGCTGAAATAGCAGAATCCACTCATTTGAAGGGATGTCCACATACTTTCTACATTTAGTAGAAAATAAATGTACATTTAAAAAGTTTTACCGGATGACATCAAAAGTTTAAATATTTTAACAACAGGGATTTTCAAACACTATGAGATTTGCGGTGATGTGGGGAGCAAAAAATACCTTCCCTCTGGCTAGAAACTCATTGCAGGTTTTGAAAATCACTTTTGGTGCTTTCAAGACAACTGGGAACTCAGATTAAAACAAGGTCAAATCATGACAGTGTCTTCAGGTCGGAAAGTCGGGGCTCTAGAAAGATGCCCCATTTTCCAAATTTGAATTTTTTGTTCAAAACGTTTTTTCCAGTCGGAGCTAGTTTTTTTCAGAGTTCCCAGTTGTCTTCAAAGCACTGAAGTCGGAAATCTGAGATTTCCGAGTTCCGGGTTGTTTTGAATGTGGCATTCTTTTTACTTTTAAAGGTGCACTATGCAGAAATCTCTCTGCCAAATCCTGGTTGCTAAAATTCTAATAGTTCGCCTAATTTCAGTTTATGTGACAAAACAAGCATAGAGAATGTAGAGAATCATTGTACCATTTAAACCACTGTGAAATATATTTTCAATAACCAAAAATATTGTAGTTTCAGCTGCTTGAAGCTGGTGTACAAAACTGAAAGTAAAAGACTCAAAAACGAAATGTAAGAATGTAAGAATGGGAAGCATAGAAATAGCGCATATAGAACATATCTACCACTTCTTAGACTTGCTTTCAATGAGAATGACAGATTTATAACTCACATTTCTATGTGAATTTGATCAAGTCGCCACAAAAAGTTACATATTGCAGCTTTAATTATTTATTTAATCTACCCATTGATGTCAAAGAGAAGCATTTTTTTTAGGACCTTTCTTTTTTATCTTTTCAACCACAGATCATAGAAACGCACCGTTTTCACATATGTAGACACTGGTATGGTGCCGGAGATAATGAATATGAGGTTGAAAAGTGGCGGTATTGCCCTTTAAGTGAACGATGCCTACTACCAGGTATTTGCTTTCACCTGTAGCTCAGTTGGTAGAGCATGGCGCTTGCAACGCCAGGGTTGTGGGTTCGTTTCCCACGGGGGGCCAGTACGAAAATGTATGCACTCACTAACTGTAAGTCGCTCTGGATAAGAGCGTCTGCTAAATGACTAAAATGTAAAAAATGTAAATGTGCAGATGGGTAGAAGGAGAACATATGGGAGGAAGCCCTTCCAGACCATTGAGGATTAGCCCAGGCCAGCACAGACGTTGCATTGAGGGGGTTCGATTAATCTCGCCCGGGCGCCCGTGTAGGAGTGTTTGCACGGCTGAACGTTACTTGTATTCGTTTTGGAACCGGGGTGTCTCCCGGGTGTGAGACAGGAGCCCCATTCAAAGCTCACAGTGATGTCGGCTCAAAAGAAAGTGACGTAGGAGCACGTGGAGTAATGAGTAGGATTCTGTGTTTTCACATGCAAAAGTGATTGCTTTTTAGCCTATCTGCCTTCCCAATGAAAACAAGTTATAAAATTCTAACAATTATTTTATGGAAAAGAGATGTGGAACAGTATGTTATGGAACAGTATGTTTCTGGACGATGCACCATGCTGCCTTGTTGAAAAAATGACCAGGTCGCTCCTCCCTCCCCGCGATCGCCGATGACGTAACGGGCCTTTGCCCGGTGCCCCGCGGCTCAGCATAATCGAATCCGCCCATTGCCATCGGCCCGGTCCCACCTCCATGGAAAATATGGGCACTCTGTAATTGGACGGCAGTATGTCCGTCATCTTTTCCTGTTCTCAACCGCTTTGTGATTGGTGAGAGAAAGAACGTAGTGTAGTCCTCCTATGCAATTGGTTTAGAAAAACTAGGTTAGTGGTGCAGCACTGGTCATGACGGAGGGGAGAAAGTAGGTCACAGACTGAGTACGGTTTTATATCACAGTTCATGTAACATTAGACAGAGGGGTCCATTAGATGGAGATGTCATAGCTAGTTCATCTCATGTAAGTAGCTACATAATATTTTCAGCATATATCGTGATGACAAATGGCTAGTTGCATAGCTAGCTAGCTAGATATCACGGTGCTAGTTGGCTAACGTTAGCTAACTAGCTAGCTAGATTACAAAATGAATTTATGGCTTGCTAAATTAGGATAATGTAAATTTAACGTTTCGGTGTAACTAGAAGTGTCTGGGATTAAAGTGTCTTTTAGCTGTGGCTTAATATCCAAGCCTAGCAATTTAGCTAACGCTAGTTAGGGTCGGGAGCTTTTATGTTGTTGCTGGACGGGGGTAGCATCCTAACGTTAGTTGGATACGTCATTGGCTGGATCTTGCTGGGCTCGTCAATAATAGTGTGCAACTGCAGTCTGTAATTCGGGGCATTCCTGCATGTGGGTATTCCTTCAAATCGGGGCGTTCCTGCATGTGGGCATTCCTGCAATTCGGGGCGTTCCTGCATGTGGGCATTGGAGGCAACCATAGCAGTATGGATCTGTGCAAAACTGCAACAGTAAGTGTATATTTTTTATTTGAAGGATTATTTCTCGGTGATGAAAGATGAGGGCCATATGTTTCGAAAGCCTTATCTCAAGTGATGATTATTGATATTTCTAAATGATAAAACACAGCATCGGGATTGTAGTTCACATGAGCCAGTCGCAGGCAAAGCCAATGGCTGAAAACTGTAGGGAGAAGGCAGAATGCCACCTAGAGTGAGAGAGCTAGTGGAAACCCAGCTTGGC